GGCACAGGGAAAAAGTATTGAACACACTTACTGAAATTTATCTAATACTTTGTACAAAAGCCTTTGTTGTCAATGACAGCTTCAAGACGCCTCCTGTATGGAGAAACTAGTGGCATGCATTGCTCAGGTGTGATTTTGGCCCATTCTTCCACACAAACAGTCTTCAAATCTTGAAGGTTTCGTGGACCTCTTCTATGAACTCTGATCTTTAGTTCTTTCTATAGATTTTCTGTTGGATTCAGGTCAGGTGATTGGCTGGGCCATTCCAGCAGCTTTAGTTTCTTTCTCTGAAACCAACTGAGAGTTTCCTTGGCTTTGTGTTTGGGCTCATTGTCTTGCTGAAATGTCCAGCCACGTTTCATCTTCATCATCCTGGTAGATGGAAGCAGATTTTTATCAAGAATGTCACTGTACATTTTTCCACTCATCCTTCCTTCAATTATTTGAAGTTTGCCAGTACCATATGCTGAAAAACAGCCCCACACCATGATGTTCCCACCTCCAAACTTCACTGTTGGTATGGTGTTTTTGGGCTGATGTGCAGTGCCATTTGACCTCCAAACATGATGTGTATTCTGGCATCCAAACAGTTCAATGTTGGTCTCATCTGACCAGACTATATTCTCCCAGTATTACACAGGCTTGTTTAAATGTTGTGCAGCAAACTTTAAAGGACCTTCAACATGCTGTTTCTTCAGCAGTGGAGTCTTGTGTGGTGAGCGTGCATACAGGCCATGGTGGTTCAGTGCATTACTTATTGTTTTCTTTGAAACAAACGTACCTGCTAATTCCAGGTCTTTCTGAAGCTCTCCACAAGTGGTCCTTGGCTCTTGGACAACTCTTCTGATAATTCTTTTCACTCCTCTGTCAGAAATCTTGTGAGGACCACCTGGTCGTGGTTGGTTTATGGTGAAATRATGTTCTTTCCACTTCTGAATTATGGCCCCAACAGTGCTCACTGGAACCTTCAGAAGTTTAGACATTCTTCTGTAACCGATGCCATCATTATGCTTTGCAACAATAAGGTTGTGAAGGTCTTGAGAGAGCTCTTTACTTTTACCCATCATCAGATGGTTCTTGTGTGATACCTGGCCATCATTTGGGACTGAACCAACTGATATTAACTTGCACTGACAAGGGGCAGGCTTGTTTTCTAATTACTGAGAGAGTTCAGCTGGTGTCTTGGCTTTCCATGCCTTTTTACACCTCCCTTTCTTCATGTGTTCAATACTTTTTCCCTGTGCCATTCCACATTATTACAAATAACTTCATTTCTGGACATTTATGGTTTGATTTCTTTGTATGTATGGATCACTTGGGTTGTTACCAACATCTGGTGAAAATTTCATGTCATTAGCACCTCTAGTAATATATTTACTGAGAAAAATGKTGACGTGTTCAATACTTATTTTACCCGCTGTATCAATTAGTGTTGGAGATCCAAAATGGCCGACACAGCTAATAAAATCTTATCAAACACAAAAAAATGGTTAGGACTTTTTGTGGTAGTAGCTGAGAGTTTTAGTACTTAATACATGCGATCATGGTTTTTGGTGGTTTTAGTAGACCGATGAGTTGTTAGGGTTATGTAGACAGATGGGCGGAGTGGCTGCAGCTGTGACTAATGAAACCAAAACCAGGTGTGACTGTGCACAACCAGACTGAAGGGCAGAAAGTACCAGGAGAGTAAACAAAAAAATGTGGTGACACCTCCGGAAATGTTTTAATTGGAGGTCACTAATTTTTGGGGGGAGTGACGTGCCCCCTTAAAAAAAAAGAGTGCCCCCCTCTGAAAACACAATGGACCAGAACCAACACAAGAATGTTGGTGGATGATACAACGAGGCAATTAAACTYAACATTTTAATGACACATCAACACAAGGCAGAGGCGTAATTCTTCCTCCTTTTCTTCGAATTTAAAGACTCTCAGACTCAGCGACGTGTACAATATAAGCAGCGAATAAAATTATCGCCTTTAGCGGTAAATCAATCCTAATTAGCTTCAGCTGTTAAACTGCTCTCCCTGCGTCTCATGGAAGCCGTCAAACGATGTCAAAAAAATAAATCCTGGCTGTTTTATTACCTTATTACTCACACTGTGAAGGGAAACACTCTGCATATGTTTAACAACCATAAATCATTCTTCATTTCAAGGTCTACCCTCTTTGTCTAAAAGCTGCAGCCTTTTCGAAGTAAAGCTTCGGCTCGGCGTGACTCTGATGTCTGAACCAGGCCTCCTTGTTTGCTTCTGTTTTTAGCTTTGTTGTTTATTTTATTCATATGGAACCTAAAGTGACTTTATTGCTTTGAGAACAATAAATTTGCATTAAGTGTGAGCAGCTGCCTGAGGCAGGATGTGTACTCATGGAAATGTGGCTCCAATAAAAGGTGACAATTATGGACTTTATGCTGATTTTTTTTACACTTTGATGAAAATTTGTAGAAAACGAATTTTCTCCAGAACAACTAGGAGCTTAAAACCCATCACGAAAAGATTATTTAAAGCTTCTGTCTGAAATTTCAACCACTTTTTCTCTAGTAATTTATGTTTTTTTTTATTTTGTGACAATGTAAACAGACAAAATGGTGACCCTTAGATTAATAATTGTAGAAGAAGAGTTCAGAAAATCGAGATAAAAATAATGTTTAAGTTGTCAGCGGCTTAAACTAGGACAGAAACAAGCAGAGTAAAAAGTTAGAACACATTTTTATACAATTTACCTTTATTCATTTTAGGTAGTGTTGCTTTTCAGATATTTACAGTAATTTGTTTTAGCTGGTGCAGCTTTTCTAGTGTTATGGTAAATGAATTAAAGGTGGTGCGGCTTTTCCTGTATTTATGGTAAATTAATTGTAGTTGGTACATCTTTCCTAGTATTTACGGTAAATTAATTAGAAGTGGTGTAGCTTTTCTAGTATTTAGGTGGTACATCTTTCCTAGTATTTACTGTAATTATTTTAGGTGATGCAGCTTTCCTGGCATTACGGTAAATTAATTATAGTTGGTGCATCTTTCCTAGTATTTACTGTAATTATTTTAGGTAGTCCAGCTTACCTGATATTACGGTAAATTAATTTTCGGTGGCGCAGCTTTTCTAGTATTTATGGTAATTCATTTAGGTGGTACATCTTTTCTAGTATTTACTGTGATTATTTTAGGTGGTGCAGTTTTTCTAGTATTTATGGTAAATTTATATTTAGCCATTTATATTTAGTTCCTGGTTTGCAGTTTTTATCTATCGCTATACTAATTTTAGCCTTTAGATTTTTCCTCAGTTATCCCGTGAATATTTCAACATTTTTTGAAAGACAAACGATAATACTGTTTTTGATTTTTGTTACTAGAAATAAAAATACAAATGTGTACCTTTCTGGGTAATAATGAAGGGACGAAGAAGATGAGAAATGATGAGTAAAGCTGAGTTTCATTGAAAAGTTCAGACACACAGGCAGTTACATTATCACCCCCTTTTTGACGGTAAAGAAACATAAGTTTGAGGTTTTCTTGTGAATCATGTTAATCTTCTTCAGATCAAACCGTATTAAATACAAATAAACACTGATCACTGACTGCAGGTTCTGATGGGTTTTAAACCCAAACATCTTCTGGAATAATAAGGTTAGCTGCAGCATGAAACATTCAGTGCAGATTCTGAAGGATTATTTCATCTTCGGGTCAGGCTCTCTGTCAGCAGACCGAACCAGAACATTTTTCTCTGAGGTTTTATAGACAGTTCTGACCCAGAGGCAGTGGAGGGTCGACTCAAATCCCTTTTTCTGGTGACAGCTGGACCTTTTCTCTGAAAAGGCAACGTTTGTGAAGTGACATGACTAAAATATTAAAATAAAGATAACGTATTGGGACATAGACACCAGAAAAAACTTTTTCTATATTAAGAATTTAGAATTACTTTAGATTTACCATAATTTAGAATTACCGCAATAACCTTACTTAAACAATTTTTCTCTAATAAAGATCTTATAATTTTATATTCTGTTCTTTTCACTCATTATCATGTTTTTTTCAGAAACTGCTTTGCCCATAATTAATTTACCATAAATACCAGAAAAGCTGAACCACCTTGAATACTAGAAAAACTGCACCCCCTAAATAGATGACTATAAATACTAAAAAGGCTACATACATACATATATATGGTAATATAAACTTAAACTAAAGCTGCACCACCTATAATTAATTTACCATAAATATTAGAAAAGCTGCACCGCCTATAGTTAATTTACCGTAAATACTAGAAAAGCTGCACCGCCTATAGTTAATTTACCGTAAATACTAGAAAAGCTGCACCGCCTAGTTAGTTTACCGTAAATACTAGAAAAGCTGCACTGCCTAGTTAATTTACCGTAAATACTAGAAAAGTTGCACAACTTAAATAAATACCTATAAATATTAAAAAGCCTGCAAAAAGGCTTAGAAAAGATACATTCAATATCAAAACTATAGCTAAAAAATAACAAGTGTGACTAAAAGCAAGAAAGAACACAAACGTGGCTTAAAGTTAAATTAGCTAAACAAAACCTTACTAGGTGAAATTCGTAAAAGCAAAAATAAACAAAGTAGGAGCTAAAATTAGTAGCTAATAGGTAATTTTAAATAAAAGGCAGCTAAAATTAGCTTGATGATGTGATAGCGAAATTATAGCTCCAAATTGTCAAAATACAACAATAGCTAAAATTATCAAATCTATCAGAACAGCATCTAAAAGCTAAAAGTAACAGAAACATAGCTAAAAGCGACTGGACAGTAGCTAAAAGAGCATGCGTTCTGAGGCAGATTAAAAAAGGTTGGCTGTGGCGGCCATCTTGAATTACTTTCAGAAGTTCTGTTAAGATTGGTTTAGACTGGTTTAGGAGTATTTATCTGTATTTTTGTAACAGAAACAAAAACATTATCTGTTTCTGTGTTTCAGCATGAAAAATAAAACAGACCAGGGTGTCCATCTTGTTTGAAAAGTGACCCGTTTGCTCTTGTTTCAGATAATGTTTACAGAAAATGCCTCACCAATGGGACGTGGGCGCCGAAGGGGAACTACTCCATGTGCAAGGCCATTCTTCACGAGGAGGTAAGACGCCGCGGTCGGTGTTGTGTTTGTGTTCGTACCCCCTGATTGATGAGGCCGTTTTGAGTCCATCTTCAAAGCAGAGAAACCTGCACTTTAATCACAGCAAAGCAAAAGGTCAGGAGTGGAAGGAGACGCTGTTCTCTGGGTTCGGGGTTTGGTTTCTTAGTGATTCAGTCCTTGAAGGTGGGCGGTGTGCATTTCTTCAAGAAGTGCTGGTTTCTTTGTTTTTTTTTACAACCCAAAGTCTGTAAAATCCCTAAAATAGCCATCTGCAGCAGCATCGATGTTCCCGCGGGACGTGTTCTGATCCTGCTGTGCTCCAGATTTGATCCAATCACATGTTGCTGTTATTTGTTGGCTTTTGTTTTTCGTCTCAGCCTCCACCTGGATGGTGCATTGTGATGATGATGATGGTGATGAGTGTTCATTTTAATTAGGACCGAGCAGCAGACTGAACACTCTGACCTGAATCAGTTCTGCAACAATCAGACCTCTGACGGGTCGGTGTTGGATGTAAACGAGAGAATAACACGATGGGAAACATGTGACTCGGGCTGTTTTTTATTTTTGTTGAATCTGTTGTCACCAAATATTAAATAGTTTCCCTCCATAAATAATCTATTCTGAGGTTATTTATTATTCTATTCTTATCTAAATTCTTGTCACGCACCAGAAAGATGGATGTTCTCATAAATTCCACTAAGAGACTGCAGCAAAACAATATAAATCTGTTATATTTACATCTCTGGTATTAATCAGCCTAAAATACAAACTTGTGTTTTAAAAAATGGCTGCAGAGTTTCTTGTATTGTTTCACTCAGACAACAGCAAATATAGTTCTTATTACAGATTAAAATGTGACTTTGTTTTTTTGTTTGTGTAACAATGTTTGTGTTGCTGAACTCAGTCAGCCTGGTTGTATTTTTATGATTACCTACATATATATATATAAAATCTCCCGGTTAAAACTGCATGTTCTGTGGGCTCAAATGTCTGTTAGCAAAATATCATATCAACTGATACACATTTTTATTACCATTTATCGCTTCAGGTTTAAGTGGACAACTGAAAGAGCTAACTCTGTTTTTGATGCTAGCTTACATCTCTTTTAAAATTGATTTAATTTATTATTTCACCACATTTGTATTTTTTACACGATAATAAAAAAAATGCTGTAATGGAGAAAGTCAAAGTAATGCTAGCAGCTAATCATTGAAATGTATTAGCAAGTTGTTAGCTACCCTTTATTAGCTTTAGCGAAATAAATCAGCTTTAGCACAACACAGCTTCTTAGTCGCACATAAATGTTCACTTTAAGTCAGTGCTTTTGAATAATGTGGCATTTATATAAAAATATTTACAACTATCAGTTTTAGCCGTAACAGTTTTATTAACCCACCTCTAAATAATTCATTTTTGTTCTCCTTTTTTAGCATTAGCATAACAAAACATGTTAGCCTCTTAGCATTAGCTCCTGCTAAGCTTCTTTTTTACACTCAGTTTGGAATTTTTGAGGCATTATGTTTTTAAATGATGTTTCAAATGTACATTTTTAACAAAAATAAATTGTTATTGCTGTAGTGATACCAGTTTAATCAGCCCACACTTGTGATTGTTCCATAAGCTACCTTATTAGCTTTAGCATTTATGAATTTTATTTTCAGGTTTTGGCTATGGTAGCTTTAGTTTTGAAGCAAATATGTATTCCTTGATAAACATATTTAATCTATATTATGTGTTATTGGTATATGGTGTTTTGTAGCAAATATGTATTCCTTGATAAACATATTTAATCTATATTATGTGTTATTGGTATATGGTGTTTTTTATTATTTATTTATTTGTTTATTTATTTATTACATTTAGGCCCTTTTGTTGAGTTCTCAGCTGAACATGAGCCAAAATATCCTGGAACTACAATAAAGGCTGTTGTCTCTCTGGAGAGCTGGTTTTGATTTGTATCTTAATGTACAGTTTACAACAGCTGGGTTCCTTTTTCATTACGCAAACCAGATGAGTCAGGGATCTGATCAGAATCCACTTTAGAGAGGTTTTCTGATTGAGGGAGACGCCCGGGCGAACACACAGAGTGTTAAAGATTACTTGTTATCTCTCCTGGGAAGACCTTAAAGTTCCTCGGCAGGAGCTGAGAAATTTGCCCCCCGGAGTCGAGATGGTCGTCTTCACGTTTCAGATAAGTGTCAGGTTTGCGTGAGGGGAAGGAACCAGATGCAGCCTTACAGGCAGGAGGTGCCGAGCAGGACTTTATTAGATTATCTGAAAACAAAGGCGCCTCTATAGCAGTAAACCCAACGAAACAAAAGACAGAATTGAAGGTGACGTACAAAATAAAGGAATAAAAAGAAAAGCCAGGGTTTCACTTAAAGGCAACTGAAAACTAGAGCAAGACAGCAGATAATATTAATATAGAACAGGTGTGCTAATTAGAAACTAAAGCCAGGTGTGAGGAGGGAAAACACAGACGATAACAAACCCTAAACTGAGAAAYCTGTCTGCAGTGACTCCAGGTTTCTGTGCTGCCAGGCAACTAAACTTTTAATAAGCCGTGTCTGCTGCAGTCTTGATATCAACGACACTTTTCTCCGTTTGTAATCTTAAATTTAAATCGAGCGTTTCTCCCCTCCAGGAGAACTCGTTCGTTAAGGAGCGCAGCTCTCGTTACAATCAGGGATCAGACGCAGCCGGCAGTTCAGAGGTCCGAGAAAGAGAAGATTGTTCTCTGCTTCTCAATTAATTTAGAAATGTTCTATCAGGAGACGCTCGGCAGGGTCCGGTCACCTTAAAGGATGTTGATGGAGCGTTGATTTAACGGCACGTTCACGTTGCATGGTTGTCACTTGGTCTCAGTTTTCATGTGATGCTCGGAACATTAATCAATGGTGGATTAATGGAGCTGGAGCTGCACAGCAGGACTCAGRATAAAACCTCAGTGTGAGATCTCCTGCAGCTTCAAAAACTACATTTGTTACAACAATGAGATTATTGATGTTTTCAYTTCCTGGTTTATTATTAGTGAGAAAACATAAAGAATAATAAATAATGTTTGACCATCTTTGTTTAATTTCTGCCACAATTTTGATTTACATTTCCTTCATCAAGACCTGATAATGGAACAAGAGGAAGATGATGGATGGATGGATGGATGGATGGATGGATGGATGGATGGATGGATGG